CGGCTCGGCAATGCTCTGGTCGGGGCGGGGCCGACACGCCCCGGGTGGGTGGCTCGCCGCGGCTCCCCGCGGCCCTGCAGTAACTCCAGTGCCCTGGCCCGGGAGGGGGGGATCGCGGAGAGGAGGCCGGCGAAGGAGGTCGGGCCAAACGGGGGAGGACGCTAGGCTTGGCAGTCTGGGCACCGCAGTAGCTTGACCGATGCAGCCCTGGCAAAAGCTACGTTTGCCACGCTCTCCGCGGGGCTCCCCTCTCCGAGCGCGCGAGTCCAGGACGCCTTCCTTCGGGAGAGCAGGTGAAGCTGGCGAGGGCTGACTCAGGAGCAAGCAGGTGTGACAAGGCTGTCAGGCTGCTCTCCCCCCTCCTGCCTGGGTAGCAGGCGGCGCTTCCTTTCTTCTTGGGAAGGCAGGCGGTCAGGCCTGTGCCAGGCTTGCAGCCAGCTTTAAGAAGAACTAACTCTCGGGGCGCCTGGGTGGCTCAGTTGGTTGGGCGACTGCCTTCGGCTCAGGTCATGGTCCTGGAGTCCCGGGATCGAGGCCCGCGTCGAGTCCCGCATCGAGTCCCGCATCGGGCTCCCTGCTCAGCGGGGAGTCTGCTTCTCCCTCTGACCCTCCTCCCTCTCCTGCTCTCTGTCTCTCATTCTCTCTCTCTGAAATAAATAAATAAAATCTTAAAAAAAAAAAAAAAAAAGAAGAAGAAGAAGAACTAACTCTCTGTCAGGATGGCGGGACCACGGAGAAGAGCGAGCGGTGCAGGCGTCATGTCCGGATATAATGCATGTGAGGGAAGGAGGCGAGATGGAAGGACTTCTCGGAAGCAGGATGCACCATCCCCACATGGGCACATGGCATGGCAGCTTTTCCAGGTCTCCCAGCCTGGTGATTCTTCCCTGGGTCTAACCTGAACCCTCTCTGCCACATCTCTGGCCAGCCTTCAGTTAGATGCTTTTCGGGAGATGGGTCTTCCATCTAACTTTCTCATTCTTAGATGAGGCTCTGGCTACTATGCTGGAGGCCAGTCCTCAAAACCTGAGAGTCTGAGGTGGGGAAGGCATGCAGGAAAGCATTCAGCTCCTTTGTAGGTCTTACAGAGAAGGGGTTAGTGCCTCTGAGAGAACTGATGTCGCTGTTACTGAGATAGGAAATGGGACCAGGTGGAGGTGGGGTTCATTCTTGTTACCATTCTATTTTATAGCTGAGCAAATGGAGGCCAGAGAGGTTATGTATCTTGCCTAAGATCACACAGCTTCAGGTGGCACAGCCTGGATTGATACCCAGGCTTGTCCGATTCCCAACCCTCTGCTCTTGACTGCAACCCTGTATTACAGGGACCTTATGCCAGTTCTCACCCTGCTTAGGATCATCTGGGGGCCTCACCTACCTGTCGCTGCTGTTTCTGGCCTTGGCACCTGGTTCTTTGCTGTGTTTCAGGCTTCCCAGACACAGGGATTCATCCATACAAGGGAAAGTCAGCAAAACCCCAGGTGCCATGGCCCCACTAATTTGGAACCAGATATTTAAGGGGTGTGGGACCTACAGTTGAACTTAGAAACCAGAGGGTGCTAGACTACATCCACTTTATTTGGGCATCTCCCAACTCCTCCTGTTATACTGAGGAGGAATCAGCCAACTGCCTAACGTTACCGGGAAGGTTTCAAAAGAAGGAGCAACATTTAAATTGGTTTTGCGGGGTATCTAAGGGTTCACAATGGAGCAAATGTGTTGAAGGGTTGCTTGTTGGGAGAACATTCTTTTTTTTTTTAAGATTTTATTTGTGATGGAGCGAGAGCGAGATAAAGCATGGCGGGGGCGGGGGGGGGGGGTAGTAGCAGAGGGAGAGGGAGAAGAGTCCCAATGCGGGACTAAATCTCAGAACCCTGGGATCATGACCTGAGTCAAAGGCAGATGCTTAACCGACTGATCCACACCAGCGGCCCTGGGGAGGACATTCTAGGTCTGGAAAGAGCATATAGAAAGGCTCTGTCTCCTTTGCTTTCTGTCCCCAACTCCACCCTTGCCCCATTCCTCCTCCTTTGGAGATCCTTGACAGAAACAGCTTCTGGTGTTGACAAAGTGGCAGAACTTCTCTTGTGTTGGACAGGCCACTGTGAGTCAGGGCCTACTCTCTTGGGATGAAGCTCTGGGATTCCAGGAAGGGGGATCCCCACCTCTTCAGCTGAAAGTGGCTCATGGGTCCCCACCTTGGAGGATTCCATACTAATCACTTGAATCTTGCCTGTTTCTTCATCTACTGAGGCTGTCCTTTTTATGGCCAAAGAACACCTCTTTTCTGCTCATTGACTGAAGCGGAAATGATCACAGCTGACTTGGACTAGCAGTCTGTCTCGGAGTCCTCGGAGCAATCATGTCCAGTCCAAGGCAGATGAATGGAGAGGGGAGGGGATCAGGGTGACGGTTACACCACAGGAAGCACAAGGACATTTTCTCTAAAATCTCTCTCCCCTTCCTGGGCCTCTTCCTAACCTCCAAGTCCCCCATTTCCCTCCTCCCACACCCCCTCCTCCCCATTAAGCAAAGTTGATGTCTCTGGCTCTTTTCCCACCATTAACAAAGCTAGGAATTTCTTGGCTTATGAGCAAGGGCCTTGGGTATCTAGGCTCCTTCAAGTCAGATCTCTCAGTGGATTAAGGTGACTGTGGCTTTGGTGACTCCCCTGATTGCCCCGAAGATTGTCAAAGACTTAACTTTGTATCTCAGTCCCTGAGGCTGGCTCCCCTCTCCATGAACAGCCTCTAGAGTTGGTACATCTGCTCCCAGTCTTGCCTGGACACTGACTTTCAGACAGGGCTGATGGAATAGTCACTGGGAAGGCATGTCCCTTCTATTGCCCCTTGGTCTCCTTGTCCTCTCCATTTGCCACGCCAAAGGAATAGCTCACTGGCAGAACACGATGTTGGCCTCAAATGTCCATCTTTAGCCTGGTAGTTCTTGCTCCAGGTTCTTTATACATGTGTTTAGGAAAAAGTGACATAGAGGTAACAGGGCTGATGCAGCCAAATTCAGATGAACCTCACTTTGAGAAAAATCCATAAAAAACAGAAATTTACAAAACACTCCAGAGAATTCCTCCTGCATGGCTGGCAGTTACATACCCAGAAAGGATTCATTCCAATAAGAATAGTGATTTTAAATTCTTATTTTATGCACTCTTCCAACAGATATTTAGGCATTGGGAAGGAGATGGGTTGTCAATTTAAGATAATCAAGGATGAAGAAAATTTCTTAAAGGATGATGCAAGTGAGTGGTGATACAGAATCTAAAGTGTGAAAATCCCTTCTCTTACCATGACACGGCAGTTTTTGTAAAGTGAAGTATACTTGACCCTCACGGTCCAGGGCCAAGATCTGGGTCAAGTGCCTCTTTCAGGAAGGGAAAAGTTAACTAGCCAGCCCCTGACAGGTTGCCCCAAGGAGACAGCTAGATTACACAAAAGTCCAAAGCAAAGCCTTTGACCGTCCCTCCATTCCCTCCTTGGGAACTAAATGGGTCTGACTGCCCAAAAGTGGGCAACCAGGAGAAGCTGGAATCCAGATCAATGCACAAAGTCAATCAGTATTGGGTCCTGAACCACCCCACACTGATCTGCCCCCACCCCCATTTTTACAAGACCAGGGGGAGATTATCCAGTAATCTGCTAGGGTCACACCAGCTGTGGGGATTTATAGGCTCAAATGGGGACAAATGGCATTCATTCAGGCTACAAGACTCCTTAAGGAGGAAATAGAAAGAGTGCAGGACTGAGGGCCAGATTTATTAGAGCAGGGAGGGGGAAGTGATTACATCCCATGAACACACTGGACTTTCTGTCCAGGGATCCTTGAGGACACTTCAGGGAAAACCTTCACTATCCCCTCTACATCCCAAACCCAGGTCTCCTTAGAGTGGACCAAAATGCAGGGCCCCTTGAGAAGAGCAGAGGCCTGGACAGCCAGGACTGTAAAGATTAGCTAGCAACTCAGTGAAATAACACTTCCCGTTTCCAGACAAAAGCGACACTAGAAACTTTTCCTCCAGCTGTTTTCACTGAGTCAATAGAGACTAAAGCAATTATCAGAAAAAGGTTGGGAAGCCTCAATTCTATAGAAAACAGATGTAGGTATCCAAAACTTTTTCACTAAATGAAGTGTCAGATTCATCTTGATCTGCTGTCACTTGAGTACTCATCGTGTTTCTCCTAACAGCCTCCTTGGAGGTAGCAACCACACCGAAATCGCCTTTACGGGCCCCTTAGTGCCCAACAGTGCCTGGCACATTGTTGGTACCCAAAGGACATCCGATGAATCTAGCTGAACACAAATGGGTAGGAGACCTAGCCTAAAGCCCTTTACAAGTAAAGAAACTGGGTTCTAGAGCATGAGAAATATTCTAAACCCATTTTCTCTTTTGGGTAGAACAGGGGCCTATGGCTGTGGCCACTACCCAAGGCCCGGCTTCCTGGCTTTTCCTCAAGCTGACAGGCAGGAGTCTACTGCAGTCAGTCTGGTGTGTTTCCACCCTCCCTTCTCGGTAGGGGCTCAATACCAACCAGCCTGACAGCATCCCTCCCCCTTTCTCCAGCCCCATACCGAGATGGGTACACCTGGAGAAGCAGTGCTTTAAACATTTCTCTACCATCAGAGTGAACTGGTGAAGCTTCTCAGATATTAAGCAATCCATCATAACATTTGTGACCGGTTAACTTTAATTTGTCAAAATAAATCTGCAGTATTTTGCATGTTAGTAATACAGTGCTGGTATTGACAGGAAAAATCATCATCTGCTTACATAGAAACCTTCATTTAGGAGCACACCTTAGGAGGGAAATGGATATACAATAAAAGGCAAATGCAGGCCAAGCAGCGAGCCCTAGAGCATAACAGGCTGGATGTCAGATTTGAGGATTATCTAATACAACTGTTTAGCTGCCAATCTGATAAAGGGAAGCTCTCAACCAGGTTACAACCAGAAAGGGAAAAACAAACTCTGCTTTTTCGTAGCGCGGTGGCCGTCGTGCCTTCAACACTTGGTTGAATCAGTTCATCAGCATCAAAACTCAATTTCAGTTCCAAGACACAGGAGAATCTCACCATACAACCTATTCGGCCCCCCTTTCAGTGGCCTGCCGCCACCCCCTTCCTGCCAATTCTCTCCCTCCCAAAAGAAGACACGACGTGGCTTTATTATTGCAGACAAGCTTCTTAAGTGAATAAAGAATGCATACAAAATAGCATTTTAACTGAAGTCATACAATGAAGTCTCACTCCTGTTTATTATACAATGAATTGATAAAACAATCATTTCTAGTATATATCTTTTTTTTTTTTTTTTTTAAGAACTAATACTTTCAGGGTTCTGACGACCACACTCTAGCCTGGGGGTAGGGTCCACACCTGCCCCCACTGAGGACTGCTCCTTAGGCCACTGTGGAGGAAGCCTGGGCTGTCTGAATCATGGTGGATGGTGACTGCCAGCCCAGCCAGAGACGACAGGTCCCAGCAGGCAGAGCCAGAACCCAGTCCTGGGGCTGCATGCCAGGAAATGTGGGCTTCCTTCAAATGTGGCCACTACCTGCCCAATCCAGGCCTCAGTAGGGCCATGTACAGGCCTTCCCTACACAAGTCCTTCCAGTAGCCCACACACAATGCTCTACAGATTAAAAACAAACCCTCTTCGTACTGTAGATAGGAACAGTTGTAACAAAGTCATAGCTACATATTTTTCTCTACATTTTGTTTATTGAGACAAACTAATTAAAAGGCACAAACATAGGGCATGTTTACATGGACATTATAACAAACATATACATTAAAAGTGTAGGAATGTGTTGCCTTCCTGCTAAACAGAAAGTTCCTAAGCTTTTATATATACAAAAGTTGTACAATTTAATGTCCTAAAGTACAAAAGATCATTTATAAAATTATTTTACACTAAGTACTATTTTATTTTTTACTATGTAGTTCAACCCCCTCGAACTGTTTTGTATAATGACACACAGATACCTGTCCCTGATGTAGGAAGTCTGCCTCGGATGTAAGGTATTTGATGCTTGAACTGACACAGTGGGGTATAAACGGAAGTCATCCAGTTTGATAGTCAGTCCTGCAAACATTCTGCAAGATTAATACAACTAAATTCCATTTCTCTTAACTGCAAGATTAAAAAAGAAAAAAAAAAACAAAAACCAAAAACATACTGCAACTTAAAAAAATCACAGCGTCTTGGTTTTAGTAACTTTTTTTTAAAAAAACACAATGCTTTAAAAACATTAATGTGTGGCATGATGGTGTAAAAAGTATCTGTTTCCCTAACTTTTGGTTTCTACTTTATGTACAGAGATAAAACATCCTGCTAAGAAATAAAAAGCACATGTCCTAACGTGCACAATCATTGCTGGGTTTCTACAGGGAGTACAGAGAGCTGTCTCCCTGAAAACACCACAAAGCTGATACAAGTGTTTTCTCAAAGAAAAAAAAAAGTGATGTCCATATTTACAAAGTTGAACAAATCTGCACAATACTTGATTAAGAAACGGAAGGAAAAATTTAAAAAAAAAGATACACTCTGCTTGTTCTGAAGGGGCATACTACCTAGTTAGTGGTTAGAATAAAAACTGTATACAATTTAATATAAGACATAAACTCTAGTGAGCAACTAACACATCTTTCCCTGTTGTAACATCAACAGGCTCTGATTGGGAGAGAGAGGGGCGTATCACATCCCAGTGCCTCCAGCATCTTCCAATTTAAAGCAATATATTTTAACTGTTCCAAGTACTCCTTGGCTCCTGAATAGGAGTCCCACTGGCCTCTGTTTGTTAGGAGTCTGCCTGTCCACACGCTTGACTTCTCCTCTGTCAGTTGAGGCCTTTTCTTACCAAAACACAATTTGTATATTTTGGTTGTTTTTTGTTTTTGTTTTTTTAATTTTTTTTAAAAAGTCAACTACAATGCTATATTCCATCAGGATTAATATGCTGAGCAATATTTACATCTCCAAATATCAGGTCACAATCCCTATTATATGTTGAAGTTAGAATGATAAATTATCATATGCTTTGCATATCAGAGCTGGTATCACCTTTCCCATAGGGAATGCTGCCTGAAATTAACATATTCCCAAAGGTAAAATGCATATTCTCTGAAATGCATTTTATTATGACAATGCATGTATTTACTCATAAAAACAATAAACACAGACAATGCTACACTAGCCCTCTACCTGTGGATTTAGAACTTCAGGTTATAATCAGCCATCCACCTTGTATAGGGAGAAGAGTTCTGCTAGTGTTTAGAATAAAATGATTTCTTGGGATTAGAAACAGTAATGCCGTTTTTTTATTTTGAAGTGGGTTTTGCTTTTTTATGATTGGTTTTAATTCTGGCATTTTACCTTGCCAACTACTATCTTGTTTAAGCAATGCTGTCAGCTAAAAGGAATTTCTGATTAAACTAAAGTGGTCCAGTGATAAGTTACATACACACCCTACTTTGAACAATCCCAGCCAAATTGGAGAAAAATGCTACTACACTATTATTAACTAATGTAATAAAATCTCCCAATTTCATGGTTTACTTTTTGCTTTAATAAACTAAAAGTAAGTTGCTGGTAAATATTTACTTTAACCCATATTTTGATTTTATAATACTGTTTACCAAGGTGGTGATGTAGGCAAAGCTTGGGGTAAGAAAGGCATGCTCTCTACAGGCCTCATTGCTATATTGAGAGGGGCAGCTAACGTCATAGGGGTGGGCAGGTTCATGGGAGACGTGATGGTGACGGGGTGTGCTATATTCACTGGAGCAGTGACAGGGGTGGGAAGGTTGACTGGGGTAGTAAGTGTTAAAGGAGAGGTCATGGATAATGGACTGGTTATAGTTACAGGGTGCCCTATGTTCATTGGGCTGGTTATGTTAACTGCACTTGAAACATTGACTGGACTTCTCATGCTCATTGCAGCTGCCACTGTGACTGGGTTTGACATCGTCCCAGACGACACAGAGGACGTGATATTGAATGGAGTAGTGAGAGTCACGGGTGTCGTAGCAGCCGTGGAGGTTTGGCACAGGTTAGCAGCTTCTAAAATAAGAAGACAAAATGGCCTTTAGACTCCCCAAACAATGAACAAAATTCACAAACAGCTTCTGAATCAACTTTTTTTTAATTAAAAAGGACAAACATTTAATGAATGAAATTATAGTTCTCTACCAAGCGGTCAACAGGAAGGGAGGCTCTTTCTGAGCACAGGACTGGGGGTACGTGAATCTCTTTTCTGACACTATACCTCCCACAAGGCCTTGGGCAACTTGTTTAGCCTGGCACTTTTGGTTTCAAATTTAGATTTACTTACCTACCTCACAGTGATGCTGGAAGACCAGTTAATTTCCGCAAGGCACTCTGGGGGGCAGAGATATCAAGCAGGGCTTAGTATTCTCACTACCACTTCATGCAGGCAGAGCCAACCATCGGCAGGCCAGGAGAAAGAGTTTGTTTACAATGAGCTGGGCCGATGGTCACACAAGAACAGATAATCAGAAAAATCTTCTGGTAAGGCGCACTGTAACTAGCGGAGAGCGTTGTGTGTCCTCAATGCTGTGTACTCTAAAGCCTCAGAGGTAAGGTCAGTCCGTAAGTAGGGACTGACAAGCTATTTTCATATCTGTTTATTTCAGTCTTAGAAAAATTGTTTAAACAATCCTGTTGTGGGGCGCCTGGGTGGCTCAGTCAGTTAAGCGTCTGCCTTCAGCTCAGGTCATGATCCCAGGGTCCTGGGATGGAGCCCCGCACTGGGCTCCCTGCTCCGCGGGAAACCTGCTTCTCCCTCTCCCACTCCCCCTGCTTGTGTTCCCTCTCTCGCTGTCTCTCTCTCTGTCAAATAAATAAAATCTTTAAAACAAAACAAAACAAAACAAAACAAAAAAACAATCCTGTTGTTTCTGGTTAGGTTTCCTATGTTAAGAAAGATAAAATCTCTCTCAGTGGGTTTGTATTCTCCTCTGCACTCCCATTTCTTCTTCGCTTTCTGATGCTGACAGAATCACCCACTCTATGCCTAGTGTCATCTAACTGCACATATTATACACATCACCAACCATACCAAGGAGGACTAATTAAGCAAGAAGACCCTGCAGTGATTTGGGGGACCCTGGTCCTTGTTACCCAGCAAAGCCCGGGCACTTCTTAAAGAAAACTTCCCTCAGAGGTGACACCCCCACCCCACCCCTCAACAAAATTCAGCACCACCTGCTGGTGTGTCAGGAAACAACAGTAAGAAGACAGATGAGTGGGCTAGTTGTGTGTAATTTGGCTGTCAAAATGGGGAAATATATTTGAGACTAAAGATAAAGGTCTGCACACATCCCACACATATGGGTCAAATCACCTCACGCCGACCCTGGAGTCAATAAGCAGCTCTCCCTTGATCAATATGATGAAACTCTGGCAAACTCTATGTCAGGAATTCCCAAACCTGACTGATGATCAAAATCATTTATCTAGGGCGCCTGGGTGGCTCAGTTGGTTAAGCGACTGCCTTCGGCTCAGGTCATGATCCTGGAGTCCCTGGATCGAGTCCCGCATCGGGCTCCCTGCTCGGCAGGGAGTCTGCTTCTCCCTCTCCCACTCCCCCTGCTTGTGTTCCCTCTCTTGCTGTGTCTTTCTCTGTCAAATAAATAAATAAAATCTTAAAAAAAAAAAAATCATTTATCTAAGGGACACCTGGGTGGCTCAGTTGGTTAAGCGTCTGCCTTCGGCTCAGGTCATGATCCCAGGGTCCTGGGATCGAGTCCCACATTGGGCTCCCTGCTCAGCAGGAAGCCTGCTTCTCCCTCTGCCTGCCACTCCCCCTGCTTGTGCTTGCTCTCTCTGACAAATAAATAAAATCTTAAAAAAAAAAAAAAAAAAAATCATTTATCTAGAGAGCTTTTTTTTTTTTTTTAAATGGCTTCCCAGGAAATTCAATAGTGAGATTTAGATGAACTTTGGAAATGTGTATTTTTAAAAAGTTCCTGAGATGGCGATCTGAATGTCACTCAGGTTTGGGAACTTATATTACCTTATTTAAAAAAAGAGACCTGCTGACTCAAGTTTAGGTTTTCAGGGCAGAAGTCTCCTCTCCCCCGAAATGTGACATTTTACTAACATGAATACAGAAGTTTCTAACATCAGTGGTCGTTTCCAGAGAGATTCATGCTACAAATGGGAATACAAAAGCATTTTGTTTCATGGAGGTCAGAAGATGAGCTAAACAATTGAGTCTTATTGTGCAAGCAAAATGAAATACAACACCAAATAGAAAAGTGCAGAAAGAAAGAGAAAACCAACTCACTTTTGAGGTGATGGTAGCACTGTTAAGGGTATTCTTGTTTACACCAAAGAAGGGGCTTTCACTCTTACATGTGCCATCACCACCCTTGCCGCCATCCTGCACTTTTTCCTTTCAGTCTAACATCAACCTTTTCTAGGACTTAAAATAATTTTACTCTTACTCCTTCTCTACTAAAACATCCTTTGTAATGTGCTTTCACCCACTATGCGACTGTCATAGCATATATACATCTTCCTGCGCCCCCCCCTTACCTCTTCTCCTAACGATAAAACATTTTATTAAATAATGACAAATCTTCATTTGGAAGAGAGGAGGAAGCAGCCGCTGAGGAAAGGTAGGAAGGCCTATCTGGCTGCAATGCCAGGAGATGTATGAAAACGGACGCTATTCCTTTTATCTTTATCCAAGTACAGGGTGTTTAGAAGTGATCTGTGGAAGGGAACAGCCGTACTACATGAAAGCAGAGGAGGGAAGAAACTACACAGCAAAGGAATTACAGAGGAGCCTAGAGGCAGAGGGTTCCTTATGAATTTAAAATAAAACAGTAAGACCAAGACGTCTGGAAGGAAAGAAGGAATGTAGGAATCTCTCCCGTGGCTGGTGGTACGCTGACAAAATCATTGATTTGAAATGCCCGCACAACAGTCCAGAAGCCAAAGCTCTAAGTATTAAGTTAAAAAGCTGTGTGGAAGACGGATACGCCAACGGCTTCTTTATACGATATAGGAGAGAAAAGCAAACCATTCTCAATTTTAGTAACAATTACAGTAAAGTCCCTAACAACTTAAGTACATACTTGTTAAGCTAATGCCAGCCCCAGTGACAGACTGAATGAGATTAAGGGTGAGACCAAGAGAAAAGATATCAGCCTCGTAAAGCCAGAAACATGTAATAAGTAATGCAATGCAGAAAGAACACTAAAGAGCAGAAAGTAGCAAAGTTGTAAGAAAATAAACTTCTGTACCATAAGAATATTTCATCCAACCCCAAAAGTGGGAATGTTTTAGAAAGGAAAAAGAGGAGCCCATAATGCACGGAGGTTGACATAAAAATGAACTCTAAACATACACAGGGAAGGACCAAATCTGGCTCCAAATTTGTAACAAAAGGAAAATCCAAAGAACACGAAAAGAAGTACTAAGGATTTTTATTTGTTAAGGTAAAAAGACTTATTTGGAAGCTTGGAAATTTGTTGCCAACATAGTGTTTCCAGGTGCCCATGAAGCCAGACTGCCTAAGCTGTGGCTGCCTCACTTAGGGCCTGGGGCACAAGAAGCGAGCACACTGGTCTAGCCGTCCTGCGAGTTCTGGCCACCTCATCTTACCTTTCTTTCTGGCCTTGACAGCTTCTTCCCACAGTCTCAGCGTCTCCACCTGCTTCCCGGGCCAGCTCGTTACATGCTGCTGCTGCTTCTGGCTGCCGGCCTCCTCGCTCATGCACGCTGCCCCAAAGACAAACCACACATGCTCCGTTACCTTGAAAACGTGCAGCCAGGGGCTCAAAATCTGAAACTTAGATACTCTGGCTCCTCGTGCTTCTCTGAACTTTATCATTTGTCTTGCCAGTTTTTACTACAGAGCATCTTCTTCTGCTGCTTCTGTCTATACTGGTCAAAATAGACAAATTAATAAAAGAAAAATCGAGAGAGCTGGGGAAAACCAATGTAAAAGAGAAAAGAATTCTTTGCTATATTAAAAAGCAAGTGTCTTTTAGAATGGAACTTGGGTAAAATCAGCATGGACTAATGTCTGCTCACCAAAATATCTGATAAAGTTGGTCACTTGACCACAACAAAGTACACCAAAAGTGAAGTTTTGTAAAGTTAACAAAGTATGACATGCTAGATAATAAACCCAATGTACTCACAAAGAAGCAAAAATGGTTGAGATTAGAACACTTTAAATGTTCTTTCCCCACTCACCTTTGGCCACCTATTCTGAGAATTTGATGTTTCTGCTGCATATAGTACATACATAATAGAATACAGAATTAGGAATAGACTTTCTTCTGGTGCTTAGGGCAATCTCAAAGACAAAGCCGGGGTAAATGCAAGTACTGAATTCTATCCACGAGTCCCTGAAACAGTCTATCTTCAATTCTGAATTTAAGGTAAGTAGAGCACTTACATCTTCAGATGGATATGCTATCCCAACTCTACAGATCTGGGTTTGAAAAGCAAACTTAATGATGCCGCTTTCATCTTTAAGGTTATTAAGGGCATGTTATTAACTCAAACAGGAGTTAGGAGACACCAATGCTTAAGAATCTTCCTAACATTAAATAAAAACAATGAAAATTGCCTCGCAGCAGCTGCAGCTTCCTAGTGCGGCTCCTGCTGCCACAATTCTAAAACACTAGAGCTTTTTATTGAAACTCCACAGAAGAAGGGACACGTTGAAAAACAGTTACAGGGAAATTCTGCTTTTCTAACTTGGGTGTTATTAGTAGACAAGCACAGGACTGAAAGCCAAAGTAGTGGAGGGCTTGTCAGTGCTGTTTGTATCCACGCAGGTGAGGTGTATTTCCAACACCAGTATATACTCTCCATGGACGTGTGTTTACACGCTTTAGTGAGAGAAGAAAACATGTAAGGTGATTATGAATACAGTGCTGAGAGCATAGTGAAAATACCTTCAGTACATTATAAAAACATCCAGATTTCATTAATCTGAAATGCAACAGACATACAATCTGAAGTGTCACCTACTTTTACTGATGCCTTGTTTACATGTATTACAGTTGATACTTTGGCTCTGCCCATGTGTCTTTAAGTGGCTGGTGATGTACGCTGCACTCAGAAGCTTCCCACAGATGTTACACGATACCTTGCCTTCGTGGCGCACCATGTGTGTCCGCAGTCTGTCTTTGGTGGCAAAGGCAGCAGTGCACGTCTGCATGAGGGAGGAAAACTTTTTTTAAATATAGACTATCCTGTTCTACTCATTTTAAAGTACATTATATTCTAGGCATTACCCTATCCATGTCCACAAGCAGACTGAGTTAGTTGAATTTTAATTGCATGTGTTACCTAGAATCATAATCATAACAAAACATTTGGTGAACTTTAGACCCTTACATTTTGGGGGAAGAAGAAATATCAACACAGATACTGAAAAGATGTGAGCTGTAGAGTCAGTTAAACTTGGATTTAAATCCAGCTCTCCTTGATTCATGAAAACAGTGTAACACTGAGCAAATTAACCTATCTGAATTTGTTTCTTCATCCGTAAAATGAGGATAAAAATACCTACCTCCCAAAATTATTGGTGGGATTAAGAGTCTGGCCCAAGGCCTCGCACATAGCAGGTACTCGCTCAAATGACACTAGCTTCCTTCCTCAGATTGGATTTTTCTTAAGATTCAAATCACTTACTTAATAAAGTCAGTCATTAACACATTTAACTGAAAGGAGCACAGAAAGACTTCCAGCAATAAACTAAAATTACTGATGTCTAAAAAAGTCATTTGATTTAGCAAGATTCTTAACCTTTTTGTTATCACAGCTTAGGTCTAATAAAATCAACAGATTTTCAAACAACTCGAAAATGCTCCAATTTGGCAGACAAACATCCATAAGTGGTAACATTTGGGAGAAAATTCCTATTTTCTGCTATTACAGTTAAAATCATCAACCCAGAAAATAATTTAAAGCATTTTATTCATTTATTCATTTCAAATACATAATGACCTTTGCAAGACTATAAATTTTTTTTCTTGTAACGATAAATACTGTTGCCTAAGGAAAGGGAAATGTAGCTTAACAAAAACAACACATTTACATTTTTAAATGCTCTTGCCTCACAGAAATAGAAGCTGTCATTTATATTGTATAAAACAAGAATTCAAATGGACCACATTTACTCAAGTCAGTGATTTTAAGACTATTCAAGAACGGTGAGATTTGACTGGCTCAGACCTTCTGGATAATGTGCATTACGTGCTACACTAAGGATAAGTCATTTTAACTCTTACTTGGCATTTGAAGGGTCTTTCTGTTGAATGGACATGTTTTACGTGACAGCTTAAGTGGTCAGGCCTGTGAAAGAGAGAGTTTCAACAGAAGATGTAATGGAACACACATTGAGAAATGCTACTCACGGTGATGTTTACATGCTTGGCAGCTTTGGGTGGAGGGCATTTTAAAGAAAGCTAGCAGAATTACCAACTCCCCCTCCCCCCAGTGCAAGCCTCCTTACCTCTCTTACCATAAACAAAAATCTTAGTCGTTTACCTGTTAATTTTTCTCTCCTAGTCAACATCAAATCATGTTAGGCCTTGGTTCTTTAAATTATAAAATACCCAAAGTTTTAGTCCTAACACCTGCCAGAGAAAGCTACTCCTATATTAACTCTTCTTTAAAAGCCTTTAAAAATGAAAATTAGTGAAATGTTAGTAACCACAGAAAAACAGAAAAGCGTCTTCCTAAAAGTTATACTAACAGTATTCAAGGTCATCCCAACTTCCAAGAAGTAAGTTTCTTTGATTTGCACAGTGAACCTCATGTCTAGTCACCCGACTGAATTGGAAACCGGTGGTTTTGCAGTGGTAAGAATTATAAATGTGCCAAATGAAGGCCTGAGTCCACCAAGGCACTTCTTAACTGAAATATTAGGCTGATCACTATGTCACCACTTGTCAACCACACCAAACTGGAATTAGACCTGGAAGTGTAGTACTTTATCATCAATCTCCTCTAATAACACAGGCCTGCCCACAGCTATGCTCACATAAACCTTCTAGGTCACAAAGAGACAAAACTGAAGTTCACTGATACCTAATGAAAACAAAAAGCAAAGCAAAATGCAGTACCTCGAGAAGCCTTTCCCACAAACACTGCAAGTATAGGGTTTGGTGATGCCTCCTTCATGAGACCTCACATGGTAAGTCATCCGGTCCTTCCTCTTGAAACGCTGATTACAGACAGGACACTCGAAGGGCTTTTCGTCCGAGTGGGAGAGCTTGTGCCGATTGAGGTGGTACACATCTCGGAAAGCCTTCCCACACATCTCACAAGCATGGTTCTTCTTGACGGGCTTACTGGGTTTCTTGACAGACTGGGTCACGGGCATAGCTGTGGTGCTGGCACTGCTGCTGGGGTTGGTGCCCGAGGAAGATGTAGTGACTGTTGATAAGATGCCAGCAATGGTCGAGACCAACGAAGTTCTGCTGCTGTCCCCAGCAATGGTGGAGATGAGGGGAACCACCGTGGTGGGGGTTTTCTTTGACCGGGACACCAACTTGATCCCTGTGTGGCAGGACTCGTGGCGCCTCAGGTGATAGCTGTCCCTGAAAGCTTTACTGCAGTAAGTGCACACAAATGAAGTTTTGGGTTTTTCTTTTTTAATCCCAATGGCATCCTTTAATGTTTCTGGCGCTGCTTGAGGTTTCTGAGTTATTGGTATTGGAAGCAACGGTTTCTGATCAGGGGGCTCCACAGCAGAGCTCAGGAGGGGCAGCAAGCTGTTCTGTGCTGCCTGCTGTTGGTGATGGGAGGCTTCATGGGCCTAAAACCAAACATTTACACTTCAGAAACTCAGCCTCGCACAATGGCCTTCAAAATTCAACATGCTCCAGACAACAGAGACCAGAAGAAACCATCAAAGAGCCCATAAGCTACTCCCTGCAGCAGAAATCCAGCAACCACCTAGTTACCCTCAGAACTCCCAACACAAAGCATTAAAATCACTGTGCAGACACAAAACTTTTATGACTAAGTTGCTCACAGTGATCTTGCTTTCAAACAGCTGACTACACACCATCCTGGTGCAGAAGGGACATACCAGCTGATGAAATCAGTGTGCATTAGTCTGTGAGTGCTGAAACCAAGTTTAAATAACTTGTCAAAAAAATTACACTCCAGACTTAAGTATCTGCCAGTACCTTACTGCAGTAATGCACACACTACACACTCACACACATACACATAATCATCTGTCTATTTTACCTAGGAAAAGAAAGGCACTGTCTCTCCCTTTCCATTAGAAAACTTAGTGACTGAGGAAGGAGGCTGTTGCTAAGTGATAAAAGAAACTCAGCTCTCTGAATACATGCATGATGTAAAGTTTACTTTTAAAGTTTTCACTTAACTTTCCTACTAAAAGATTTGATTGAAATGAAACCTGCTATTAATCAGCCTGGAAGGCATCTGTGAAGGTAGCCTACAGCAAAACACCTGTCAGTTGTTTCTCAATTCATTTAATCTTACACTAGAAATCTGCATCCTTTTAACAACACTAGTTGTTCAAACCCTAAACTCTCAAAGACAGACTAGCAAGAGAAAACAAACTAAATAATTAAAATTCCTTCCATTTTCATCTTCTTCCAGCACTTATATGTTTCATTAAAGTATTAGACATTTGCTGTTATAATGTGCTTCTCCACTCCAGAACTGGACACCGTCTGGAAATTTTCTTTAGCTGCACTGAAACCAAAATTTCATTGTGGATCAGATTCTTGGTATTTACGAATACTCACTCTCTTGATTTTGATTCTTTCAAAATTCTCCGTACTGATAAAACATTTAGGAACCGATGGAAAAAATTCCTGAAATAAGTTCTTCCTGATACGTCGTACTTTACCAATGTTATTTCTGAAACTTTTTTGACAGTGAGCCCAAGCCCCTATGCTTGAGTTTTGTAATCCCAAAAGGATACATGCACCCAGATGTAAGAGTTCCAAATATTTTAAGCACACAACATCCTAGGAGGGTCCCATCCCATCATCTTAGACACTCTAGTCACTTATTTAGCCTTCTCACTCTATAATCACAAGTCCTACAGTTAACTTGATTAAGAAGAAAACAAGGAGACAGACACACACATTCACACAGAGCGTCTTCTCCCCTAATGGATAAGAATATCTACCACATAGCTCCATATTTACTTGATGGCAATACAACAGCTAAGCCTGGAACCAAGTCTCCTCCAAATCATCAGGAGGTGTGATATTCAAAGTTACCAGTTCCAATTTAATAATTTTGGTTGAATCCCCCTTTGAGTCCTGGACGTACTCACAGAAATTGTGTGCTTGCCTATGAGTATCTTTCTGGACTCAGGGATTATACTGAATTACAGTCCACTTTTAATTTTAATTTACGGAGCTCCTGTAAATGTGTCTGCCCATGAGACATTAGTGGAAACTTTATAGAATTTGGATTCAAATCTTACCCCCTCTCCAACCTGGCTGTAGGATACCCAAGTTTCCATACAGTATACAAACAGTTAATAGCTGAAGATAGCTCAAGATACACAATTTCAAAGGCTAACAGATCAGATAATAGGGAATGCAAATCTTCTGGACAAAGTTCAGACTTATAGTGTTTAGAGGCATTTTTCAATTCTAAACAACCATTAGTTCGATGGAGTACTAAAAGCACTTACTGCCATTTTACCAATTCAGATGTCTGTGGCAACATAAAGTATTTTTACAGCATTGCTGAAGCTCACTCTCACACGAGGGTCACACCAGGTCCCTGCTTCTTGGGTGAAATGTTGTAGAATGCCTCGACCACTACGGGAATCACTCTCTGAGGATTCCTAGGATCCCCACACTTCTACATGAAGCCTTCTAAGAGGGGAACTGGGTTTCCCCAACTTGTTCTCTGAGGGAGAGACAGAGTAAAATAACAACCATGGCCTGCCTTCAGTTAAATGATTTAAAAAAAAAGAAAAGAACTTCTGGGTAGACTTTTATTTGACTAGTATCATCAAACCAAAGCTTTTATTTTATCTCCCATCTCTTTCAACTTTAAGGCTTTTTCAACCCTGCCCAAGCTTTCCTTTTTCTGGGGTTCACAAAAAAACAAAACAGAAATGTTATTTCATCACCCAGGGTAGTAGGATATAGCACCAGGAAATCTCCAGTGCCAGAGGGCAAAAAATTTTGTACTGAAACAAATTAGCATCAGTGAGTCATATCTTGAATGTCCTGTTAGGAGAATCATCCATCAAACATCTTAACAGCTATGGCTTTCACTTTCCACCAGGTTATCTGGAAAGCAAGCAGGTATTAAATTGTTTTAAAATATAAATTCAATAGTATGCTCTAGGAAACAAACAAGAGAGTTTAACTCTCCCATTTCCCCAGTAAAAATTACTTAAAACTGAAACTGAGTAAGTCTATTCATACCTTTCCATAGAAAAGACTGAAATATTCTCTTTACCCATTCAACTGTCCTCGGCTCTAAATTATTTTTCCAACAATTTTCACTGCACACATTGCCAAGCCCAGGATCAATTATTAGCTTTCACACTTCTCCATCAGGTGGAAAAAAAGATTTTAATTGCTGAAAAAAATTAAATAATATAAAATCTAATTAACAAGTTGATCAATAAATGCTTGGCATTTGTCTTATCCAGAAAAAGAATAAAAGTATTCCAAAAGATTGTTCAACTAACTTCCCAAAAATTAGTTCTAGGTTTTTCCTTTACATAAAGAACTCTCCTTTTTTTTTTTCAATCTCCATGAAGTTTACGGACAGCAGGTTTAACATGGTAATTAATATGGTGAATCTAAATCATTTCTCACATGAAAATCACTTAGGTGGCCCGTTAATCCCATTTTTAAATGACCATTTGAAAGCCTTTTCTAGAGAGGGCATTTGCCACCTTTACACCATTCTGGATGCCAACTAGTTATATACCATATCTTTCCCAATGCATTTTTAAGTTGACTTAAAGCATGATAAAACAATACCAGATCAGAATGAGAAAAAGAAGTTTGTGAGTTCCATAATTTTGCATATCTTCAATTTTAAGAAGCCAGAATATATTTCAATTAACTACTTAAAAATCAAATTACTCACATTTGAAAGAAAGTATGTCTTAAAACAATAAATCAGCTCTACACAATAGGTAATGTTTGAATTATCCAACTCCTATATTAACTGCACTGGGATGGGTCCAGTGACTGGGAGGATTTTTTGAAAATTCTGCATCCATTCCTGGTTAGTTTCAAAAGGTCTCAAGCGCCCAAGCAACGCGTCTGGGATTTCACGAAGCTATTCAAAGAAGGAAAATAACCCAGAGAGGCGGGAAGAACGCATTTAAAGTGACAAGCTCCCTAACCTCCTCCGGTTCCGAAGTTTTCCCGTGAGCTCATCACTACTGCCCACTAAGTGCTTCGTTTGCAAATAGAAATGAAGCAGGGAAAAAATAAGCCTCGGTCTTCCCAACAGGGGTCCCCCACCTAAAATGGGCGGGCAAGAGGACTGCCAACGTATCGGCTACAGGCACTTTCAAGTTTCTTGCAAAAAGTGTAGACCAACACCCCAACGAATGACTCATCTGGGGGCTTTGTAAGCCGACTTTGTTTGCTCTCTCCACTTTCCGTCTCCCCCACTTGGTTGGAGGAAACGTTCGAGGTGGGACGAGAGGGAAAAGCGCTCCGGGAGAAGGTCGGGCCTCCTGGAGTCCCGGCCCCCACCGCTCCCCCCGCCCCGGCCCGGCTGGGGGATTCCCCGGGCTGAATGGGACGGCGGGAGAGCTGGACAGAGGGAGAGGGTGTCAGCTGCCAAGGCTCGGCAAAGGCTTGCGAGAGAAAAAATGTAAATCCAGTAAAAAAGTTTGGGGAGGGGATACTCACTCACAACACCCCCCAACAGGGTAAACACAAGGGGGGGCGGCGGGAAGGGGGAGTGGCGGGGAACCCAGGGATACCCGCTATTCGCAGGGATGGGGGGGTCAGAAAGTCAACACACACACACAAAAAGAGGAGAGGGAGGTGAAAAGGAAGGAGAGCGAGCGAAGATGGATGAAGTGCGTCTGTGTGGGGGGGGGGGTCTCAGAGTAGGACCTGGGGATCCCCCCTCACCCCACGATGCGGGCCCGGGGCGGGCGCGCTGTGGCCGAGCGGCCCGCGCTATCCAGCGGCCCGGCGCCCTCCTTTCTCTGGGCCGCGGGTGGTGACAGCGACCGGCCTCCTCCCTTCCCCTTCAGGGCGGGAGGGAAGGGTGTGTGCGTGTGCGTGAGTGTGCTGGGGGGGCCCGGGGTTCACCCTGAGGCCTGCTTTCTCCCCCGCACCCCGTGAGGCCGCCTCCTTTCACCTCAGCAGCCCCGCTCCGCCGGGGCGGGCGGGCGGAAAAACAAAGGGGGATTAAGGCCGGGCCGGAGAGCGGAGCCGGGAGGGAGGGGAGGAGGAGCGCCCGCCCGCCCGCCAGCCCGGGGCCCGGCCCCCCTGTCCCCCCCGGGCCCCCCCGGGGGGGCCCCCAGTACCTGGAACAGGAACGCGGTCCAGTTGGCCTCCATGGCTGCGGCGGCCGACCCCCCTCCTCCCCACTCCCCCCGCTCGGGGAGCCTCCTCAGCCGGAGGAGGCGACAACAAAGCGGCGGCGGCGGCGGCGGCAGCGGCAGCGGCGGCTCCTCAACATGGCAGCGCCGAGCGCGGCCACTTCCGGTAACCTCCGGGACGCACCACCGCCGCGGCGAGCGCGGGCGGGGGGGGAGCCCCGACCCGGCCGCCGCCGCCCCCGGCCGCCCGGACCCCTTCTGGGCGTCCCCGCCGCAGGCTCGCCGCCTCGGAGCTCAGCCAGTGCCCGCCGGCGGTGGGGTCAGGGCCCCCGCGGGGGGGCTGGGGTGGGGCCGGGGGCGGGGATGGGGCGCGGCGTCCCCCCCCGCGGGGGTGTGTGGTGCTGCGGTCCGCGGCTCAGGCAGCTGGAGCAGGGGGAGCGCAGGAGAGAAGATGGAGGACGCCAGGGTCTGGCGCGGGCTCGCTGGGCACGGCTGGGCCGTCTCCCGGGACTCAAACGCGGTGCCCAGCAGCGTCGCGTTCCTGCCAGACCCTCAGCGGAAGGCACAGGCCACGGCGGTCACCCGGCTCCTCAGTCCCATATGCACAGCACAGCCCGCGCCTCCAAATTGGGGGAAGCCCCTGGGACTTCGAACGTCCCTCCCCTCTGATATTTCCTCCCCAGCCAAACTCTCCGCACTCCTGCTACAATATGCGTCTACCTCTGAGTGGCCTTCCAGCTCTAGCAAGGAATCCCACTGGGGTGCAGCCTCAGATCCTCCCAGCTGAGGGAAACACTTCCCACGCGGCGAGATGTCATTACTGGCTTATTCTTGGGTGAAGGGCTGAGCTTTCCCATCCTCCCCGTAACTCCAGATAGGATACGAAATTTTACCCGAACATCCCTCTCTCCCGCCAAAAAAATTTAAAAAATAAAAACAAGTGAGAAAGTATAGACAAGAAATCATTTTAGTCCTTTAGTACAGTCTGCTCCCTCACCCCACAAAACAAAAATCGAACTTGTGGTTGGACGGCGTCAGATGTCACTGAGGTGACCCCAGCCTCTGTTTGCAGTTCCAAGTCTTCCGCGTAGGTGTCACTGCTACTGGAACTTTGTATGATGATGTCCTGAACGTTTGCTATCCTTTCCTCACAGGGAGGTAGCTACTGGGAATATCAGAGACAAGCTATTATTAAACAAGTGTCTCCAGTCCAAGAAGTCTCCTGTGGCGGGAAATGAGGGGGCAGGCTGTATCAGTGATATTTTTATAAACTATGGTTTAAGAAAATTCCTCAGATGGTCACATTATTTCAAGACTTCAACATCTTTCATAACCAACTGTCTCTTATCTCATACACTCCCATTTATTCCTCTCCAGACACATTCTAATCAAGGTCACCATCTTGAACTTCCCCTATACTTACACAATAGAAATAATACGGTTGCAGAATTCTATTTGCAAAAGAAACTAAAGAGATATAGTAATTTGACAGTCTGTGTTTCCCTTCCATCCACTACACATGTATAACCCCTCCCACTGTTTCCTTCCCTCAGTCACCAGAATGAAGGGCTGGAAACGTTGGTCTGGTTCCTTTTAGAGTTGATTCCCTATTGGACATTGCTTGGAGGCCTTGGGGATGAATGAGAGGTTCTGCAGTATGGATCAGTAGCAGAAGCAGGTAGCACATCAAGGACCAGGTCAGCCTAAGACAGGAGGGGACAGAAAATGATGAACAGTTTCTCACACATCCCTCAGCTAAGCTGCTACAGTGGCCCCTAGGTCTCCTATAAAAATGTCCATTCCTCTCTTTGGGGAGAAAAAATGTTTCAGGTTTATATGCACATGCAAGATAAGGCATGAACTAAGATGTAAATCTAGGGAATTAACTAGGTAAACTAAAACCTCTGTTCTGACCTTGGACACTGCCTGTTATTTCATTTTCATTCAGTGAATCCAAGTTTCTGCTTCTTGCACACACATTCACTTTAAGGTCTATGTAATTCAACTACTAAGTTTTCTTCCTCCCCAGTTTAGCCTCTCCTACTTTGCTGCCTTTCAAATTGTGTTGAAAATGAAGCTTAAGGATAATGAAAACTAGTACTTATGGAGACAATTATCCTACTGACAATATTGCTGGACTCTCTTGAACTTTTTTTTTTTTTTAAAGATTTTATTTATTTATTTATTTGACAGAGACAGAGGCAGCGAGAGCAGGAACACAAGCAGGGGGAGTGGGAGAGGGAGAAGCAGGCTTCCCGCTGAGCAGGGAGCCTGATGCGGGACTCGATCCCAGGACTCTGGGATCATGACCTGAGTCGAAGGCAGCCGCTTAATGACTGAGCCACCCAGGCGCCCTCTCTTGAACTTCTTATTCTGGGATCTAGAAACCCTTCTCCAGCAATCTCCCAGCACCTCTGGAGAGGGGTTTTCCCACTAACAGGAAGTAAAGGTCAAGTGAAAACAGTCCAGTTCTCATTACTAAAGTGCTGGGATTCAGAAGTATCACTTTTCTTGAGGAAAACGGCTAATTTTATCTCTATCCATGAAAGGAAACCAGATTCCTGATTGTTCCCCAAACTCTCCCTTAAGAAGAAAATTTAATAACTTTTAAATTCAGATGAAATTTTAAACCTTAGGATACTTTCCAATGGGAAAATATCTAAAAGTTTGGAACAATTACTCAAAAATAATCAGCTCCAATTGTTTTGAGGAATATAATGAAACCAGTAAGATCAAAGACTCCATCCTTAGAAGGGGCATTTCTAAGGACAGTCAATATCCTTAGGACAGTCAATATCCTTAACCTACAAACAAATGAGCCCCTTCATAAGCCAGCTTCCATAGACCATACTGGGGCCCAGTCAAAAGACTAGGAATGTCTAAAGACAGTAAATTCATCCTGATTATTGTAAACAACTTTCAGTGGTTGAATCAGTGGTGTTACCTTCGGATACGAGAACTGAAAATTTGGTGCCTAAGAAAAAAAAAAACTGTGCCTATATCCACCCAAATAAAACTCAGATCCCCTCCCCATCTTGTTTAGGTTCCTCTTTCCCATTTCCTCTGCCCCAGCTTGTATAACCTGTCACTTAACCTCAGGGTCTCATTTCCTCATCTGGAAAATGAGGACAAAATAAATACCTATCTCACAGGGGTGACTTGTGAATTAAATGAGTAATGTACGTAAAATGCTTAGAACATTTCCTCTAATATAACAAGTGCTAAGTAAATATTTTTTGGTGCTATTTAGTGGTTCTAGATTAACTTTGGGGCTGGGAACAGTGCATAACTGATGCCAGTTAATTATTCCTCTTTCTTTCAAAGTGACCGGTATTTTTTAACATGCCTCATCCCGCCCCCCCCCCCCTTTTTTTTAAAGATTTAGAGAGTCACCGTGTGCAGGAGCCCACCTGGTGTGGGGGTTGTGGGGGGAGAGGGAGAATCCTGAGCATACTCCCCTCTGAGCAGGGAGCTGATGGGGCTCTATCCCAAGACCTGGAAACAATGACCCGAGCAGAAACCAAGAGTCAAACAACCCACTGAGCCACCACGGCATCCCCCACCCCCACACCTCTTCCAAAGAGCCCTAAGGTAAGTGGCCAAAAGGCTAATAAGACAAAGGATGATGACTGTTAAGATCAGCTTTTCTAGGGGTGCCTGGAGGACTCAGTCCAGGAACATGTGACTCTTAATCCTGGGGTCGTGAGTTCAAGCCCCACATTGTGTGTAGAGATTACTTAAATACTTAAAAAAAAAAAATGATCAGCTCTTCAAAGGCAAGTTTTAGCAAACATTAGAAAGCAACAGGGTATTTCCTTCCTATTTTGGAGAGGATTTTAAAATCTGTGAGTACTAAGGATTATAATTAGATTTAGAATCCTAGGAATAGAAAACATCTCTGCTGTTGTCAATTACCTGTCCCCAAGTAAGACTCCTCAACAAACTGAAAACAAATCAAATCCAAAACTTTCAGCAGGGAAGATCTACTTCAAAGAAGTTAGAAAAGCCTTCAAATCTGGCAAGTTAATGGACTAATTCTTCATGCAAAAAAAGCTAGAACTGACAATGAACCAATCTACTAGTAAAAACCAAGAATGCAATATTTGCAAATACCAAAAAAAAAAAAAACAACAACAAAAACAGTGACCAGAGAGAAATGTTACCCTTCATTACCAGCCTCAATGCAATGGAGGAGGAAAGGAAGTACATTTTACCAAAGGGAACACCCCCCCCATCCCCCCAATCAAAACAAAAACACCACCACCCAGGGAAGCTTCTGGGAGGAAAGCAGAAGTAATCTCCCCACCCCCCCTGCAGCCCACCCCAACTTCATAACCACACTAAGGGCTTAAACCAATTGCCTGTGGCCCATGTGGTCAGATGTTGGGTTTGTGTTTCATTTCTACCCCCTAAAGTGTCATCACTAGTTACTTCTGCTTTAACTGGTAAGGTGAGGAAGGGGAAACAATGGAGAATTTCTTTTCTGAATACCTATTTAAGTTCCTTGACTGCTGGAAAGTCACAGAGAACAAAAGTACAGGAAGCAAATCTACCCATTTTCCTGGTAGACATCTAGTTCAGCTGGTAGTTGAGGGTCTTAAAACACGATTCTTTCCCTTTCTTTCAAGTAGGTTCAACCAACTGAGCCACCCAGGCACCCCTAAAACAGTTTCTAAGAAGGGTCACATACCCAAGGTGCCAAAAACAAGTCCAAAGCCATGGAAACACATTTATCAGTTTAACTCTTCTACTAGAAAGAAGCTACCAGAAATCAATGCTCAACCTATCGGTTCTATCCACAAAACATTTGAGTAAAAATACTAACTTCCATTTTATAATTCCTGAATGGCTGACAGAGGACATCTAACAAATAGCAAGCAAAAGAGCATAGGACACAGAAGGAAAAGAAACTAAGACAGGTCAAAAATACACCAAGTAAGAAATTCAATACAACTGGAAAACATACTCTCAGGCACCAACATTTCTCCTTTGGCCACCTGTTCCTCCCTGCCCTCAGATGCCCCAAGCTCAGGGTTATGGCTAAGCTTGAAAAAAAAGTTGATACCTAACAAGTCACACAAACTTGGTGGGCCTGAACCAGACTAAAAGCTTAGCTCAGTTACATCATGCTAATATTCAAAAACATAAATTAAATCCTTACGCGAACAGTTATTCTGGTACAGAGATAAACCTCTTTTTCAGTGGCTTTAGCCTCCACCCCAAGCACATTCCTCTGGTTGAAAGAAGGATGTAAGAACACTGAACAGAATTGTGCTACCCATCTGCATTATCAGAAAAACGATTCATTTGCAAAGATTACTACTTATTAGTGCCTATCCAAATGTTGTGTAGAGGAGGAGCAGAGCAAAAACATAAATCAAGTGAATATTCTCTACCCAAACCCCAATAGATACATATCTTTAGTAATTTCTTCACACCAGATTTAGGGGTAGTCCAAAGTTCAGGAAGGATTTTGTTTCTTAAAATCTTAAGAGTTGGCATATTAGTATATGCGGATTCTATGGTGCCCTCTTTCTGAGTCATTAATCCTTCCTCTCCCTTTCATGGGCCTAGAATTAAGAAAAAGGCTCATCGGGTCAGTCTGATGTTCTGCTGAGGATCCCTCCATTCCTGGTAAGAAAGGGAACAGGGAATAATGAAACAGGTGTTGAGGAACTGATGCATTGTTCCCTGTGTGACGGAAGTGAGCAGTGATGACCGAAGACACAGGTAAGACATCACAAGACTATCTAGACTAAGCTTTAGGAAGGCTGCTCTGTTCTAGAAAGCAATGTCAAAAGATGGCAACACAAGACCAGAACCGCATAAAATCTGGCTAAGGCTACAGGGGCGGGAATTCACTCCTTTAAAGATGTTTCTTGACCCTGAGAAATCTCTGAACTAGACGCTGCCTAAAGTTCAGTCATTGGGTCCAGGCATAAAAGCAGGTGCAGGAACCTGGCAAGCTGTTTGTTAAAGCTCAACATAGGGACAACAGCTGTACTCAGCATTTACCCCTGAAGCTGTGAATAAAACATCAAGCTTACCAGCTATCCACAAACACTACTGGAAGCATTGCACCCTTGACTGCGGGGGCAGCAGCAGGAAGCTCTTTCCTAGAATTGAAGAACAAAGACCAGAATTCCTAGAGGACAGTGTCGATTTTGACTTGAACGATTTACTATGGTAAACAGGGAAGATGGGTCAGATGCTAGACTTTTCTTCTGAAGTAACTTTAGTCTTTTAAACAAAGCATACAAGGCTCTCCTCAACTAGTTCACAAAAGTAAATTAGCCCTCTACCCCCAAAGCCTGACCCTGTCCTCTACTTTTTGTTTTACTGACCTTACATTAAGTAGCCCCCCTCAGCTCCCAGTTGTTTCCTCTTATTTTTCCAGCTTCCTCTCCCACTGCACCTTTCCTTTCACTTTCTCTCCTCTGTCATTCAGCAGTGAATACTCAGGAGAGCAGATGGCAAGTAGTCAATCCAAACCGTGAAAATGCTGCCTGAGCATTGGGTGTAAGGTAATCCCAGAAACAGGCATTCTAGGATACACATTATTTCTGCCTTTAGTAGTTTGCACTTTAGATAGTAAAGGCATAATATACTTACTCTTCACATATGGAAAAGCATCTTCAGACCAATCTATTAGAACTAGATTCATAATACGGGATGAAAAAAAATCCCTCAGTGATGCTTCATGAGGACATTAGAACCATCTGCATTGGAACTGATAACCTTTATTCCTACAGTCATTCATCCAGTCCCTTACATAGTACACTCAGCAAAATTCATGAAGGCTGAGGAAAGCCCCTGTTTGATAGATTTAATTTAGCTCAGATAGTTACTCTAATCACTTAAGCAAAGCACTTGGAAGGGTCTAAATTGATACTATAATCTGTGATTAGCTCTCTCACTAAAGAGATGAGAAAATTGAAAAGGATGCTGGACTACTATAGGTAGGTTTAGGATTTATTCCAATGATTTCCTGAACAACCACGGGAATTTGACAAGGGAAACACACCTGGGTAGGCAGGGAGCAGAAAGGGGAAAGGGCACCACCAACCCGACATCTCCCATCAGTAACATTTACTCTAATTTAGTAAGTCTATCCTAGTGGCTCTAAGAGCCGTGGTGAACACCCAGTCTTAGATGTTGCATGGGTAAGGTCAAATTCAGGCTGTGCTAATTCCAACCCAGAAAAAGATATTTCAGATTTCGAAAGGCCAGTCAGGACACCCCAGGGACTACTTCCCCAGTTCATAATGGTTTCTAATCATCTTAAAGACACATCAAAGACCTCCCTATCCCTAATGTAGACTCTCTTCCTTAGAGAAATGGTTCATATGTGTAACTATCCTGTAACTATTATGGAGGCTTTGCTATTTCAGTATGCAAGTATTTATTGAACACCTATATTAAAATGCCTGGAACCATACTAGTAGTCACTGGGGATACTTTAAGGATCTCTTCCAGTAAAGAAATCAAAACTTGAGAATTATAGACTAGTTAGACATTTGTACAAAGTGCTTAAAGAGCGCTGGAAGAAAAAAAAATTTGAGGGTATTGTGCTCTTTAATACAAAGTAGGAGACTTCACCTCATTAGTTCCCACGTGACAGTTTTGACACCAAAGATTATCATGTAGGATTGTGGAGTATCAAAACTCAAGCCTAAGTGGTTGTATACTCAGGACTAAGTAGATTTTTACTGCAAACTGAAAAGTGGGAATTCACACACATTGTCTTTTAAAATTCTTCTACCTAGAGTGGTAAGTAAAGCAATTCAATCTTTCTCTCGTGGATCGATTTTACTAGTATAAATTTGTGTGTGTACTCAGCTACCGGAACAAATGCATGTGTTTATAGACATTTACCCATCCATGGGGTCTTTTCTAAGCTACTCTCCTTTGTGGGGCTGTTGCCTACTTAAGAGTTGCTAGCCAGGCCCTGCTGTCCTGTGAGGCTAGCCTGACTGGAGGGGTTAAAAGAGGGCAAGGGCATCTCTGATGCTGGCTCGGTACTGCATACTAGAAGTCAGGGAGCTGAACACCCCACTTTCTTGCTGCTGAGCTCTGGGCCTCAGCCACTGAGTCTAAATGAACTCCTGCTTCAAAACAGCCTCCAGCAACCCGGGTAGGAATACGATCAAAGACAGCACCATGGGACACCCTGGTGGCATCAGGTGGATATTACAGGTGATGTTCACGAGTCAAAGGTTTAACTTGCCCCCATAAATCACCCCACTGTAAACGGCTGGCTTTTAAAAAAGAATGGTAGTAAAATAAATTTGTCACAAGGATTCAAGTTCTGGGCCCGACACTTTCACATCTTTGAACCTATTTCCTCAAACCGCAAAATGAGGCTAGTATCAGCTGAGCATTAAAATGAATCAGTTATCTCATGGACGTTGGCTACTACTTTCCTTGAGAATAAGGTATTTGTCTCATGCCCTTGCGTTTTTCCCTTAAAACCTTCCATTAAAAAAGTAGTAAGGGCATGAACCCTGAAGCCACTACTTTGGAAATAGGCCCAATGTTTGGAGGACCATACTACTTTATCTAAGATATGCAATGCACCCGCCTAGGATTTCATGAACATTATTTATTCATAAATATTAAGGTGTGCATTAGCATACCAACCATCTTGGAATAACTGTCAAAAAGTTAACACAGTGCTTGCTCTCAGAGTTTACCATGTACCCAGGGGAAGCAAAACACATATACATGAAACTATACAATATGCAAATACATACTTCATACATGACACTATATAAACATGAAGAAAAGCAAATCAGAAATATAGTGCAATTAGTCCAAGAATGTTTAAGCCTTTAGCTGACCATGAAGGGGTGGAAAAATTAAGAGATAAAAGTAATGGGGATGCTTATAGGGTATGTGTGTGTGGGAAGAAAGGTTTGTTGAGTCTCTTGGCTTTGAGACAATTAAGTAACCAGGGTCAAAGTCCTGGAGTCACATTCATTGACTCCCAAACCAAGGAAATACATGACCCATTTTCTAAACTCTGTATTAATTTTCACCTATCAATGCCTTCACCTATGATGCCACCAGAGTGTCCCATGTCTTCACTAAGAAAGAACCAAAATAATCCAACCCCCAAATCTGCAGGAATTCTCATTGAAGTATGACCACTAGGTTTGGAAGTAATATAAGGCTTCTTCTGTTGAGAATCATGCTTAAGAATATGTAAAAAGGAGACACAGGAGGAAGCAGCAAGAGGGAACCACTCTACTCTTAGACAACAGTACCAATTCTTGATGATCAATACTCAAAAGTATGCACAGCTTGCAAAAGACAAACTTTCTTCTTGACTTTGCAAGACTCATCTTTGGGGCATTTACTTTCCCCATCATACATGGCTTATGCTAGCATTTATTTGAGAGGGGGGCAGAGGAGGGGGAAAAATCCCAAGTGGACTCCGGGCTGAGCACAGAGCCCAACCTCACAACCCAGATATCATGACCTGAGCTGAAACCAAGAGTCGGATGCTCAACCGCTTAACCAGACTAAGCCACCCAGGCACCCTTAGGCTAGCATTTAAATTTGAACTTCCTAGCATCACATCTGAGGAGGGATTATTTGATGCAGTATTAAGATCAGAATTGTTTTCTCCAATAATCCACCCAGTTACCCAAAAGTTTGTGAACAGGGTTCTATTGTGTTGCTTTTAAGGAGTAAAAATTCTATCTCTTAACATTTATTAAACTGTCAGCGCTGCATTTGGCTGAATGGGAGATACAAATACTACAGAAACCTCACTGGGCAGGAAAAATTAACACGAAACTTTCAACAGTAATAAAAAAGATTGTGAAATGCATCAGAGAAGAGAGCTATTATATGGGCTTAGAAGTTTACTTTTTAGTTTCAGGAATTCGGTTTAACTGAGGCTGATCAGGACTTGAAACTTCAGGGTGACTGCTAAGTGAGAGGAGAGAAAGAAATGCCTACAAACACACCAAAGCAAAAACAAGCATGGTCAGTATTTACCAGACCAACCAGAGCAAGGGAAGATGTGATTCAGAATAGTGGTAAGTTAGAAAAGTAGACTATAACCCATTGTTGATTTGTATTAGGGGAATTGACACAATGTTTTAGGAAGATCAGACTTGATGGCCAGGATGGATACTGGAGTCTGTGAAACCAGCTAAAACACTTTAGTAATGAATCTGGGTACACAGGTAAGTATGGCAAATGGAGATGGAACACAAAACTAAATAGCATTTCGATGTGGCAAATAAAACTATAGTTCAAGTCGTAGATTCAATGGTACTGTGGCTAAGAACTGGTTATACAGAAAGTCATAGAACTTAAAGGGCACCTGGGTAGCTCAGTTGTTAAGCATCTGCCTTCGGCTCGGGTCATGATCCCAGCATCCTGGGATCAAGGCCTGCGTTGGGCTCCCTGGTCTGCAGGAAGCCTGCTTTTCCCTCTCCCACTCCCCCTGCTTGTGTTCCCTCTCTCGCTGTGTCTGTCAAATAAATAAAATCTTAAAAAAAAAAAGTCATAGAACTTAACTATGACCTTGGTGCAAGTTTAGTATCTAGTTTTAGAGGACAAAGGAGCCATTTTTAGTTTTCTTTGTTGTAGTGTGCTTGCTGTACTGCTAATCAACATTTCGTATCTTAAAATGTGGACGTCACTCTTGTTTATTCTGTAATTCAAATTCCTTTAAAAAAAAAAAAGTCTCCAAAAATAACTAGAAACACTCCAGGAGGTCACAGAATGGAAAATGATATTTTAATGTTACATACAAATATTTAACTTCTACTACTACACAACAAATATCAATTAAAGATTTATTCCCAACTTAAGACACAAAAGAAATTTAGACCTATATTTACTGGTTACTTATTCAAGATATTCAGAACGGGAAATAATTCAAATTTCTAGGTTTCTCTTCCAAAGCAATTGAATAATTATCTTGAGTGTCTATTCAGTGCATAGCTATTTTGTGCTATGTACCTGGAAGGGGGAGGAAGAAAGATTACGACCTGTTAGAAAAGATCGACACATAAACAACTCACTGATAATCAAGGCAGAATGGCAGTTTTAAAATACAGTAGCAATACTCTGGGAACAGAGGAAGAACCAATAGTGCTTTTTCTCTTAAGTGAGTTCTTATAGTGACTATTGTGCCAGACACTCTTGGTTCCTCAGAAAATAAAAATTCATGATGCAAGAAAGTTGAAATAGATGGCTGGATAGTGTAAGCAAGCAAGCTAAGTGAAATGGCTATACTAGAATAAAATACACAAGTCTGTGTCCACACACAAAGTAATGATTCTGTCTGTATGGTAGGTATTAAGTTTCCAGGAGGTGATTTTTGAGGTACTATCCAGTGTTAAGTTATACTTCTCTAAATGAGCAGATAGAAAGCATTGCAGGAGGAAGAAAACAGTAGGACCAAATATAAGAAATGCTGGAGAATGTCAAGTCCTGGGATATGGAATTTATCAGGGGGAGGGCTAGAGATGACACTACAGAGGTAGGCTAGGGGCTAGGTTACTAAAGGGCTCAGCTGCCATATTTCTAAGAATAACCTCCAAGCATTGAGGTTTCAAGTAATTATAGAAGTGAGAAGATAATTTTTCATTAAAAAAAAAAAATTACCCTAGCAACAGTAGCTGGTGGACAGCTGGGGTTTGGGATGAAGATATTAATGAATTTCTAACCACACTTGGCATTCACTGACCATACAGTAGATGGTAGAAATCACATTTCTAAGCAAGCCACTTTAAGGGCAGAAGAGATTCAGCCTAGGACTTCCAAGTCGTATTTAAAGGCTGTAGGTTGTTTTCTGTTTACCAGATGCAGCAGTCTCTTCCTGTTTTAAACCATCATTGCTGCAACTTGAAAGCTTATCCCAAACTTCAGGTGTTAAGGCTCCCCAAATACTCAGCAACTCAGGACACAATCCTGCCATGCCCCTGGCACTTTACAATCTCCAAGTTTAGCCTTTTTCTTTTACAAAGGGAATGCTGGATTTTCAATTGTACAATTTTGGTTTTAGAGTGTCTCCTCACAAGTTAAATTGAGACCTCATAGCTAACATTCCTAGGATTAAGGATAGGAAATAACCAATCTAGAGCATTCTCAATCCAATTTGCACCAAGCCTGCTAGTCAGCAACCACCTTCTGTGGCCTCACTTGCCACAGAAAATGTCAGTCAGACAAGCTCTGTGTGAACTTGATTTTCTTCTCTCTCCTGGAAAAATACTTTTATTTGCTCTTAGTATCTTATTCTTCAAAGCAGACAAGTTTCTAACATTCATGTTTTAAGGAGAGTACTACCATACCATTTTCTTGATGAAATTAGATCAAGTGGGCCTAAGAAACTTCAATAGTATTTTTAGTGAATTTAAACAGGAGGTAAGTTTGTGTCCTTTACATTTTTTGCCAATGCAAGGTCATAGGGAAAGGGATGATGGAAATGACAAATACTCAAGTGTTAATTCCCCCAAATTTTCAACTGTCTTAATATAAAATGGTATTAACTAAACATGACAAGAGAACTATGCATATGGAATTTCTGATCACAAGATACTGTGCCTAGTTAAGCAAGGCCTAGAAAACAAAAATATCAACAGTCAACTTGATGAATAAGCAGGGTTTTAACTAACACTCATTAAGTATTTTAGTAATGCTGAGAAGATTCCAGAAATGTTTCATGCCATAAAAACAAATGACAAAGATCTGAAAGTACATTCGTTTTTCCTGAGATCAATTTTATGCCTGGAGTGCCATTTGCAGCACATCTACTCCTGTACCCAATTCTTACACTTCTGGCCTTACTGGTCCATACCTGCAGGTGTACAGGGGAGGCAGGACAATAAGCAGATTCACGTCTTCAGCATTTTCTCCTATGTCCCTGAACCTCTTTTTTTTTTTTCTTTAGAGGTTCAGTACTAAAAGCTCTGTTCAAGGCCTAAATGGATCCTTACTCAACAGATGAGAAGGCAGAGGTTCAATTACAGGAAGAAAACTTACCCACCCTAAAAACCCCACCTAACTTTGGAGCTGATAGAATTAAGATAGTTGGTTTCCACCTTGTTTTAAGGGTTCTTTGCAGTAAGAATACTCCCCTGGTTTACTTATATAATAGCTCCCTCTAGTGGCTACAAGGTTTTCCCTAGCATTTACTCCAATAGCGGAGTAGAACAGACCATGGTTGAAAAAACAACTTACTAGACATTTGGCATCCCTTTAAGTTGTCTTGCTCGTATTTAGGTGAAGAGGAGTACAGCATTCTACAGGTTCTCAATTTCTACTACCTTCACATTTATAGTTCTATCAACAGTTGATAGACTAAGTCACAAGGTAGCAGGAGTTAAGACATTTAACTTGGTTCTTATGTTAACTCCTTTGTACTTAAGAGATAAAGACAAAACACCCAGAATCTGCTGAACTCAAGATCTTAAGTATTATTTCATCTATCTGTCATTTTGTACACCTATCTAAAACAGCAACTCCTTATGCAAAGGCATGCATAAATTTTCTCTCTCCAATAATCCAGCTGAAAGAACTTACTAAAATGTTTACTATGAGGTTATTTCTGCCTATTAACTTCTACATGAAAAGACTATTTTTGGGGGGGGTACTACAGAAGCACCAAGTGATTTAATAGAAAAATTCCTTGATTCCTACAAAATCACAACCACCTTCAGGTATAGCTTTTGAAGTTACCAAGATGCATCCCCAAAGTCCTCAATCACAGGAGTAAGTGCTGGTTTAAGTATAACCGCAACTTCTTGGGCCCCTATTTAAAGCAAATTTTTGCCAGGATTATTATTTATTCGGATGTTTCCTTATAATTGCATCAATTCATGCCAATCCCAGCTTCTCCTATAGATATTGATCAATACTCCTGTCAAGTATTGAAAAAAAAAATTACCCCCCAAAGAACTGAATATACCACTACATACACTAGAATGGTAGAGTATTTCCTTCAGTGGAGTACAACTGTGAGTCCACTATACCAACAGAATATAAAGAAATGTAGGTCATACCTTTTTTCTCGTGACTGCTTCAGCCTAAAAAGATGGGAAACTTAGATCTCCATTAAGAAAGGATCCACACTTGAACAGGTTTTCACTCACATGAAGCTTAGCCCTATACTCTATTAGAGTTCTATAATCTCTTATCCAAACTCAAGGGGGGGCAGGTGTATTTGAAATTCAGAGCCATTCGAACTTCATATAATACAGTATGGTGTGTATATATATATAGACTCTGTATCATCTAACACCCCCAGCAAAGCCTATGGCAAGGGTGTAACGAAACCTCAGTATTTCTGCAGAAGACCATGCAGTCCCAGTAAAGTGCAAAATGAAGGCATCAATTCTGGTCAGGTTTCACATTCAACAACAAATTTTGTTTTCAGAATTTTTTGGATAAGAGATTGTGAACCGGTTTTCTGCCTTTGCAATCTTCATACTGAGATGGAATAAATGAAACCAAAGACTGGTTGTTACAACAAAATTTCAGCCTAATAGTCTCTTTTTAATACTATTTACGGTAAATACATACACAGAACTTAATTTATAATTTCAGTACTTCATATACAAAGTGAAAAGACACATTAAGAAATTCATCTCCACAGAAAACACACATCAGTCCTAATGAGCAAGAGGTTTCAAAGATAAAACAGAGAAAGCTGAAATTCTAGAATCATACCGAACTTAAACACTACAATAAGTGGACACAGGAGCACTCAATTTATGAAGATATAAAACTTAGGGGAAAAACATTTTTAACAAGGAAAATCTGGTCATACAGTATTTTTAAAAAATTATTAAACAAATTTTAAAAATAAAATTCAGATCCCAAACAATTAGGAATCAGAAAATGGGTTTCTTACCTTTTGTTTCCGGAAGGATGTGGGCTGAACAGCAAGGTGGGTTATTCAATCTGACGTTATGAAAAATAATTGCTTCTTAAAAGTTTTTCCTTGGTTAGAAAATAACAAGCTAATTATAGGCTCCCTACACTATTCTAAGGGGACATAAATAGGGAGAGAAAAGGGAAACAATTCAGGGCTACTTTTTTAGTTCGAGAACAGTGCAACTTTCTTCTAACAGCTGCCAAAATGGATAGAGGTTTAGGGTTCATTTCCTAAGACTGAAAAAAGTCTGCATCTGCCCTCACAGCTTTTAGCTGTCTGGTCCAGTGCCCATCTACCTTCTATAAATATGCAGCCAAGTCCTCTAATCTTCAGACAGCTTATTATCAGATCTTTTCTATCTCACTTCAATTCTGAGATTTGGACTACTAAGTTTTTTAGAACACAGCTTTCAACTTAGCTTAAATGCACTCAATCTTCAGTGAAGGCAATTTTCATCTTGGTCTGGTTTCCAACACATTCAATGAACACAAGCTGAAGTCTAGCTCACATTAACCTTTCCAGAATTAGTTTAAAAATACTTATATTCTATACATGAAACGGCTTTAATTAGTAAAGATCTTTCCACTTCTTGAACATTGTATTTTGAATTCTTGCATAAACTAACTTCCTTATCTAAACCAATTTCTTTACTTGTAAGTGGAATCTTAGTTTTGAACTTAATGTCCCTTCTCTTCCTCCTTACATTCCACAAGGTTCATCTAAATGTTTTGGTTGGGTGCCCTTATGCAAATGTGCCCTTATCTACTGGGGCCCACTTCTTCTATTACCAAGATTAGGTCTAGTTTTTCCTAGGTTTCAAATTATGTCACCTGCATAATGGTCTTAAATTCAGCTTCCAACTCTGATTAGCATCCAAGGCAAATGTTAAGACTTAGTTATTTCTTTTGAGTGCAGAAAAAAGTGTTTTGATGGTTTTGACTAGCTATGAGGAAATCAAAAGAAAAAGATTAAGGATTTTAAGTAAAAATCTCCTCCCCCAACTCATTGAAAATTTAGCACCGAGGGCCTATCAAAAAGATACAAGAACTAGCAGACTAAGATATAAATCACTGCTTTGGTAGGTTTTGGATACAGAATAATCTTATGGTTGAGAAGGGTTTGCAAGGCAAAATTCTAAAGCCCAGCTTTTTATTAACAATAAATAAGCAGTTAAAATTCTGGTGTATTACTCACATTTCAGAAAAAATGTAATTTGTGTTAAGAGTTCTAATCTGTGCTGAATTTAACATTTAATACTTACCAATTTTTGAGAAAAGCTTTAAAATCTCAAAGGCTATCCCCAAGTTAACATTAACTAGTCACTACCCAATTCTGCACAAAAGCCTGTTGTCTAGATGATCAGCAAAAAATAAACATCTATAAAATTTAATTACTTTTATCAAAGTATGGGAAGATTATCTTTCAGAAACTAGATCACCCCCCCATTTACCATATTATATACACAATTGCCTTATTCTTACCTTATCTCCCCCAAAACTTATAATTAACAGTAAGAGATGGCCAATTCCATTTATTAGAAATTACCTTTCAAGAACCTTTAATTTACTAACACATAACAGAATCTTATCAAAGTATTAACTGATAAACTAGTCACCCAGTTAAAATTTTACATGAAGAGGAAAAAGGACAACCATGCATAGTTTTTTAAAAAATGTTTATTTTTTTCAAAGAAAAACGGCAATAGCCAATTGGAAACCTACTTATTCTTCAACTCCAATTTTGTTCTTTAAATTTAGAAGTGACTTACTGATTTACTATTTTAAACAAACCCCCCCTTTCCCCTTTAAATGTTTACCATCTACTCGTGCTGAATCCTTCCAAGGAGATTGCTCCAGCGTATTATCTCCAGGTCCTCGCTTTGCTCCTTTTACCAAAAAATGCAAAACACAATTCCATCGTGCATCTTAAGGGCTCCAATCGTCAAAAATAGGAAAAAAAAAAATCTTTGGAATAGCCAATTAAGTTGAATAAAAAAAAAAAAATCCACATGAATGCGGTTTGGTTGGGGCAGGAATCCACTCCTATGTTCCTGGTAATCTGATCCCGCTCCATGAATCCTTGTAATTCATCCTCCCTATCCTATCCACATTATGATTTGAATCCAATGATCCAGCTCCAAGGATTGGGATCCAGTGAGCCCTCTCCAATCCAAACCTTTATAACCAGCAAAACCAAAAAAGAGGAGGCAAAATGTTAGATACTGTAATCAAAAAAGGTTTCTGGGGAATGATGAGTTATGTCTGTCATCAGTTTAACAGATGTACATCAATAACTATCAAATTCCCCAAAACAAGTTTCTGAATGGTGTTCAGATAAATTTTAGAAACTTAATCATCATAGAGACTAATTGGAAGAAGCATTTTATATTTACAGTTCAACTGATAATGCCAACACTTGTTACTGTACAGCGTATTACAGGTTTTGTGGTTGCAAAAAGTTATGTAGTTGAGAAGTTTACTGGTATTGCTACCCACCCTAAGTCTAAACTAAACCTAATGCTCCCATCTGCAATTTAATTTGTAAATTAAAGTGTTTTAAACATGAGTCAATTATGAATATTAGTTTAAAGGGGAAGGTGAGACTTAAAAAGTATTCCCAACTAGATTATCTACACCAATACATTGGAATTCTCTATTCTGCTTTCATTTTGTCTTAAAAAAATGAAATAGCAACGCTATATCAGTCACACAGAGGACATGCAGATTTAGCAGTATTGATATTATACTCTATCTGGTTGGAATTAAAGACACCCTGTACCCACATGTACACCAACAGCAGGTCACACATTAACAGTTGTAACTAAGCACTGTGACAAATTAGCCAGTTCTTCCCACATTAGTCCCTATTAAAACAAAAAAGGGGGGAAGGGAGCAAAATAAATTGTTACAAAATGGGCAATGTAATTTGCCACAATTGCCAAGGTTTAAAGAGCAAAGCAATTGTAGCTAAAGATAACTGCATAAGATGTTTGCAAGTGTTTTAAGGTAGATGTATATATATATATATACATATATAATCACTTTTAACCCTTGCCTTTTAGTATAAGGTCAATACTGCCAATTTCATCTGTGACAATAGCACTTGGAGTCATACCATTGCCTCCATTATTGATCTGATCCTCCTCAATCCTCCTTTTGACAATCCTAAAATGATTGAAATGTGCTCCACAATCCTTAATCCAAAGCATTCTTAATCCATCTCTTCAGATATGTCTACAGAAAGACACATGAAAAGCAAGATAAACATAAGAACTTCCCCAGGTAAGATAACCACAAACACCCCCAACATCCCAGTTCACACAAACCAGAGCAGAATAGACATTTACACAATATCACAGTCTGAAGAGCATGGAGAGTTAACTAAATTTAAACAATCCTGTCTATGACATCACTTAAAATACAATTTATCAGACATGAGGGGAATGTAGATGTTAGGAGCAAGGGGATATTACACAAGAATGCAATTCAACACTTTAGCCCATTCTGAACAAAACAGTTTGAATTAAAAAATGAAAAGATTGTACTGAGTAAAGGAAAACTGTATACAACATGGGTTCTACAAAAAGTGTCACCAATCATCTTATGTACGAGAGCGAGATCTGCTATGACGGGGAGAATAGCGTGGTGATCCTCTGCTTCTCCTTGGGGAGTAACTGCGACTCCTGCTGTTGCTTCTGCTACGGCTTCTGCTACGACTACGGCTTCGAGATCGTGATCTTCCATAACTTGGACTTCTGGGCCCATCAACTTTAACCCGGATGTAGGCAGTTTCTCCCTATTGAATAGACAGAACTTTCGATTGAAAGATCTAAGCTTTCACCTGTCTTCAGGCATGCTGAACGAATACAATGTAACTAAAACCAGGAATCTGGTACTTTACTTGGACACCCTTGCCTGAATCTTACCTTTAAATTCCACTGTTAAGACCACTGTATCCAATTCTGGCCAAAGAAAAGAGTAAGTGTAAAACCTACCTCATGAGATCTAAACTTAGTGTTATCCAGTTTTCGAACTGCATAGGTCATATCTTCTTTCCGTACAAACTCCACGACACCAGTGCCATCTCGGTAAACATCAGCATAACATACATCACCTGCTTCACGCATGTGATCCTTTAAATCCTGCCAGCTTCCACTTGGAGGCAGTCCTAAAAAAGTATTTTTTCAATACCAATCACCCTAAATTTCACATTAAACTTAAAATTTACACTAGAACAAAGACTACTTTGAAATAAATGATTAGATTCAAGATCCTAGGTAAAGAACCGTTTATTAAAATTCTGGAATCCAAAGTCCAAAATTATCTGTAAAGATCATGAAGTTCTAGGTATCCAACTTAATGGTAAGTTAAGTAGTGTATTGGTATACCTCCACTACAGTAATCCTTGTTTACTAAATTCACCCAAGAAACTTAAGTAATTTAAGACCTACCACAAAAACTTGCATTTGTCACAACCGGTCACTCAAGGAAAAACTTAAAAGTGGTTCCTGTCCCTTCTCAACAACCCTCACGAACAGTAAACTCACCGGAGACAACCACTCTGTTTTCAGAACGCCTGGATGGGGGACCATAGCGGCCTCGGGGAGCCCCGCCACCTCCACCCCCGCCGCCGCCTCGGCCTGTACCACGGCCGCTTCGAGGAAACTCCACCCGCAGACGGTATCCATCGTAATCATAGCCGTCGCGACCGTATACCGCGTCTTCCGCGTCTCTGCGTGATCACAGAAAGCAAAGAGTGTAAGAATAAGGCCCGGGAGGGGCAGCTAACTCAGTCAGGAACTAGCGGCCCCCGCACATGCGCAACCAGCGTGGAAGAGCCCACATGCGCCGCATAATAGGAACGGCCCCTCCCCCACCCAGAAGCACGCCAGGCTCCCGACCACTACACCAGCCCTCGGCGCCTCAGTTTCCCGCTCCGAGAGTCCGCTCTGGGGACGTCCGTGGGCCCAGCCACCAGAGAAGCCACAGCCACTCGGCTCCTTACTCGGTTCCTGCATGGACGATATCGTCTTACCCCGAACCTAAGAGCCCACCTCCCCATTCTCTGTATCAAGGCCTTCCCCAACTACTACAACTTATTGCCTCAAGGCGGCAAGCCCCGGGCCGCCTCACCGAGGGTCCTCGAACTCAACGAAGGCGAAGGGCGGTCCTCCGCGGCGATTCTTGAGATCGATGTCGCGGATAGCACCGTATTTGTAGAACACGTCCTCAATGTCCTTGGTTCGGATGTCTGGAGGTAAGTTACCCACGTAGATGCGGCAATCGTTGTTCCCTGCCGGGCCACGAATCACACCACCTCCCGACATGGCGGCGACGAAAAGCGCGGACTCGAGAACAGGCCTTCCCACCAAGCCTAGCGCACGGCAGAGCAAGCCCGCAGCGACACCACGTCTCCCGCGGCCCCTCCAAAATGGCGCCTTTATCAGCTCGGCGCACGGATATGGGGGGAGGGAGGAAGAGAAGCGGGAGGAAGCAGCTATTCGATCTCAGTACGCACGCGCAAGAGCGTAACGGGTGCTGCGAAAGGTACGCTCACGCATGCGCGACGTGACCCTCCGCGAGAAGGGAGAAAAAAAGTTCCTCGCGTTCCCAATTTGCGGAGTGGTTTGCAAGTGAAGTGACCAGCTGTTTGGTAAAAATTAAATACAGGTTCCTCGTTAAAGGGGCTACTAATCCCTGACGAGTCTTAAGAGATAGTCGATTCTTCCAGGAATGAGTCTCTTTTAAAACAAATCCGCGCCTTGAAAGCATTGGGTGAAACCTAGCCTTGAGCCTTGTCCCACAATGCTCTGCGGCTTAACGGCCTTTGGCGGGAAAGACTGCTGGGGGCGGAGCTAAGGGGGGAGGGACCTGGCGGTTGCTCCGGAAACGCGAACATCCTCGGAGAGTGCGGCTGGTTTGGAGCTCCGCTGCTTATGATTCAGTCCAGAGCTAAGGCGTGACTTTGTCTTCCTGCCCTTTCTCCTCTGCACAGGCCGTGGTTTGCTTAAACAAGTGTCTAATTTAGAGCAACCCAGCTTAGATTCCTTAGTTAATACTCTACACCAAGTACCGTAGCATTGTCGGTTCAAAACTGAACTTTGTATAGCTCAGTTGAGCTTGTGGCTTCATCTAGTGGCGGTGGTTCCAGCCCTGATGAGTCAGCCAGGACTCAGAACTCAGCTTCCCTTTAATCGCCTACCACTAGGCCTAGCGCAGAGAGGTCCAGTGATTCAAAGATCAAGAAAAAGTGTGTGTGTGTTTGCAGAATCCTGAAGTTTGTTCCTCTTTCTGAACTCATTCCCGGGCCTCTCAGGTAATAATAGACGAGCAAAGTGGATGTGTGAGAACTGTGACCCCAGGAGACCACAGTTGCTGCTCAGGACGGATCCCACTTGCATGCTGGCTCAGGGAGATAAGAACTTGTTACAGTTTTTCCAGAGACATCTGAAATCTGGATTTCTATGTGAAATGTTGGGATTTTAAAATACTAGTAATGAGGGGCGTGTGGGTGGCTCAGTCAAGCGGCTGCCTTGGGCTCAGGTCATGATTCCAGGGTTCTGGCATTAAGCCCGGCGTCGGGCTCCCTGCTCCGCGGAGAGCTTGCTTCTCCCTCTCCCTCTGCGTGCTACTCTGCCTACTTGTGCTCTCTCTCTCTGTCAAATAAATAAAATCTTTAAAAAATAATAACAAATATTAGTAATGCATTCAGTTTTAAGAAAACCCTGCAATCATAAATATGTTAAAACATCTGTACCCTGAGTTTAAGGAGGATTTTTTTCGTATTATGTATGTATTTGTTTGCAACAGTCCCCAGGATGTGAGGCAGAGATACCCTAAAACATTAAAACTGGACTAAGAACTCAGGGGAAATGGGAAAATAAGGAGAGAGGAATTAAGATGAAGTCATGGGTAAGATTACTATACAAAATGCCTGCAGTAATTGCCTGGCCAGTTACTAAAGATGGACTGCAAATTTGACTCCAGTCATCCCAGAAGTCATAGTAAAGAAGGGAACACAAGTATATCCAAAATCCTAAGTGCCCAGGCACCTGGGTGGCTCAGTTGGTTGAGCGTCTGCCTTTGGCTCGGGTCATGATCTCAGGTCCTGGTATCGAGCCCCTCCACACCTGCTCAGCAGGGAGTCCGCTTCTTCCTCTCCCTCTCCCCTCGCCCCTTTCCTGCTCTCTCTCTCCTCTCAATAAATAAAAATTAAAAAAAAAATCCTAAGTGCCTTTGAGATTAAAAAATAAATAGGTTGTTTAGGAGAAGGCCATGTTTTCTTAGTTCTAAAAGTTGATTGAGTGCATTTTTTACAAATGTCTCTGAATGATCCCACAATACAAATTCAGTTTGATCCTGAACAGATTCATAGAGGATCTTTGGTAGTCCTTGAACTCTCTGTGATGGTTTCCAAAATTATGCATATATGTGCATGTACTTTTTCTGCAAAGAGGATTTGAAATTTTAATCAGATTCTTTTTTTTTTTTTTAAGATTTTATTTTTATTTATTTGAGAGAGTGAGAATGAGAGAGAGAGAGAGAGAGAGTACATGACGGGGGGAGGGTTAGAGGGAGAAGCAGGCTCCTCGCTGAGCAGGGAGCCCGATGTGGGACTCGATCCAGGGACTCCAGGATCATGACCTGAGCTGAAGGCAGTCGCTTAACCAACTGAGCCACCCAGGCGCCCCAAATTTTAATCAGATTCTTAAAGGGGTCTGTAGATTCCCAAAGGGAAGAGAACCTCTGAAAATTTTAGAGGGGAGGGCAGATTGTCTATCTTTTAGACCATCCTTCATTGATTATTCTTCAATGATATTTTTGAAACTGAGCTTTTAATAAAAAAAAGAAGCTGATGATTTTTAAAATGGGAAGCTGACCAAAAAAGACACTATTTCAACAAATTCAGTTTCTCTCACTGTCCTATTCAGTTAGCAGCAGAAAAGTAGTTTTTTTTTTAATTGCATGCATATCATGTATTCTTTCATTTGACCGTTGTTCAGTGAGCACACTTTCTTTTATTTTATCCATCCACTTAAGAGTTATTTAGGCTCATCTTCTGTTGATTAATGTTAAGCTAATGATAACTGAAGTGATTTAAACATAGGTGCTTTTAATTTCAAGACATTTTCGTTCCGGAAAAATAAGAAACTTGTGATTTTGCTTTGATTTATTCTTGTCCAATTTCATGCAATCACTGCATTCCGATGTTCAGTTCAGAGGAATACAAGTAGAATTTAATATGGAGTGAATAGGACATTCTTGTTCCTCTATTGACTGATTGTATTTGAATGTAACCAAATTATAGATTCGGGGGTCCATGATGAGGTCAGGCTGTAGCAGGAAAAGTCTGAATGGCTGTTTATCAAGGTCTCTCAGAATGACATTAGTTTGGTGATTATTACAGTTAAGGTTGTGATTTTTTGTTTTAAGTTTTATTTATTTGAGAGAGAAGAGCGTGAGTATAGGGGTGAGGGGCAGAGGGAGGAGAGAGAGATTCTCAAGCAGACTCCCCGCTGAGCACGGAGCTCACCACAGGGCTTGATCTCTGGGCCCTGAGGTCATGACCTGAGCTGAAACCAAGAGTCAGAAGCTTAACCAGACTTACCCACCCAGATACCCTGAGGGTGTGATCTTAATATCATTATCTTAGAGTTGATTAACATATTTTAGTCCACAAGAGTAAAAAACAAGAAAGCAAGTAAACTAAAGCATTTGTTCATTTATTGGGGGGTGGGGGGGGTGGGGGGTCAGATTCATTTTTGGTAACCAGGATGCTCAGATTGTACAATGCCAACATAACTGTTTTAGTAGGTCTGGAAAAGAAATCGGGCAGTTGCTTAGTAAATGAGGAATCCAAGCAAAATGAGGCAAATTGTTTTGAGAGATTTCATTCAGACAGTGGTGAGACTTGAAAAAATGACCCCCACCCTGCCTCAGAGTATACCTCTTCGAAGACAGGAAAATTCATAACCTCCTGGATTTTGTGTGTCTGTTCCCTGGATAATGATGCTGGGTAAAGATTGGCAATTCTTTTTTTTTTTCTTTTTTTAAGTAGGCTCAACATCCAGCAAGGAGCCCAGCACAGGGCCTGAACTCAGGACCCTGAGATCAAGACCTGAGATGAGATCAAGAGTCAGACACTCAACACAGTGAGCCCTAGCAATTCCCTTTCTGTAGGCTGATCTTCACATAAACAGCATACTAGGCAATTGATTAGATTTCTGCTAACTGGTTTACAGCCCCTTCCAGTTTGCCTCCTGAGATTACATTCTCATCTTAAGTAGGGGTTCAGAGTATCGATCAACTCTTCAGTTACACATTCACTGGCGGTTTTAGGGATTGTTCCCACAGCCAGATAATTTATGAAGTATTCATTTTACTAGCTTAATCCTCAAAAGTTGCCTTATTTTCAACACTGTTGTTGCTGTTTATAAAAAGTGACTTTCTCAAAAAATTGTAAATGCTTTCTATTCAATCTAGTAAGTATACACTAGTGTCAGCACTATATTTTACCCTGGAAATATTTACTTGAGGAAGAAAAAAGGGTTGAAGTCTCACAACCCAGTTTTTCAGTTATTTGCTGAACACTTAAATTCTCTAAACCTGTGGCGATAGTTATGGAACTCTGTAAATACACTAAAAATCATTGAATTGTACACAAAGCGAGTGAACTGTATAGTGTGTAAATTATAACTCAATAAAATTATTTTTCAAAATGACTGGGGAAAATTATTTATAAAATCAGCAAAATCACTCTCCGGTACCATTTCTCTAAAGGCATTATTGGGGATAGGGAATATTATAGATTAATTTGCACTGAAATACAGCTTTCCAAATCTGGAAATCCTGTTTTCCATATAAATGTGTAATTCAATCCCTACTGTCTTCCTTGGGGATAACTGTTATTTTTACTGGGTGAAGAAACACAAAGATTAGGAGTACTTGAGTCTACTGTGTACAGGAGTTCCCTCCAGGAACAGTTGATTTGCATGACTCTGTTCCCTTGTTCTGCTTGTTTTCGTGCTAAATAGTCTCTGAAAAAGGAAGAAACAGTTTATATCTTCTTATTTCATTTCTATTCGTCTCATCTCTAGTAAACTATATGGAGGACAGATTTCTGCTGTAACTTCTTCATTACCAGGAAAATCTCTGTTAAAATGAATATTATTGACAATTTACTGACTGCTTTTTGAAAGAGGTGGGCCGTTAGATGAGCAGAATGTTGTTTCTATGGAAACCTCGTCTTGTTGCTACCAGTGGATAGACACAATGGGTACAAGGATTGTTTTCATTTCACAGTATAAAAATGATGGCCACTTCACAGGCCCAAATAAGTCCTCTAATAATATAGTCTTGGTAATCTTATTTGAGGACTGGCTTCCCTTATTCTTTGACTCCTCTTGTTTTGTTTTTGACTAATTCTTCCCATCATTAATAACAATAGGATATGATTTTGCCAGAAACC